ATCCCAGAGTAAGTAGAAGGAGAAAAAGAATAAATGTCAGAGTGGAAATAAATGACATAGAGACCAAAAAAAAAAAAGATCAATGAAACCAAGAGCTGGTTTTTTGAAAAGATAAACAAGATTGATGGACCTTTAGCCAGACTCACCAAGAAACAAAGAGAGAGGACTCAAATAAATAAAATCAGAAACAAAAGAGAAGTTACAACTGATACCACAGAAATACAAAAGATTGTTAGAAAATACTATGACCAATTATATGCCAACAAACTGTACAATCTAGGTGAAATGGACAAATTCTTAGAATCATACAGTCTTCCAAAACTCAACTGACAAGATTCAGAAAACCTGAACAGACAAATAAGAACTAAGAAAATTGAAGATGTAATCAACAAACTCCCAGCAAACAATGCCCGGGTCCAGATGACTATACAGGGGAATTTAACCGAACATTGAAAGAACTATTGCCTATTCTTCTCAAACTATTTCAAAAAATTCAAGAGGAAGGAAGACTTCCAAGCTCTGTTTATGAGGCCAGCATAATCCTAATTCCAAAACCAGATAAAGACACTAAAAAGAAAAAAAAATTATAGGCCAAAATCCCTAATGAACATAAATGCCAAAATCATCTACAAAATGTTAGCAAATTTAATCCAGCGATATATTTTTTAAGATTGTTCACTACGACCAGGTAGGATTTATCCCAGGAATGCAAGTCTGCTACAATATTTTGCAAATCAATAAATGTGATATGCCACATAAACACAATGAAAGATAAAAATCATATGATCATATCAATAGATGCTGAAAAAGCATTTGACAAAATCCAGCACCCATTTGTAATAAAAATGCTCAGAAAAGCAGGAATAGAAGGATCATATCTCAACATAATAAACACCATATAATGAAAAACCTACAGCCAATAACATACTCAATGGGCAAAAACTAAAAGCATTTCCCTTAAGAACAGGAACAAGGCAGGAATGTCCACCTTTGCCATTATTATTCAACACAGTACTGGAAGTCTTAGCCACAGATTTCAGACAAGATGAAAAAATAAAAAGCACCCAAATTGGAAAGGAGGAAGTGAAACTGTCATTATTTGCAGATGACATGATATTATACATAGAAAATCCTAAAGACTCCATCAAAAAGTTACTAGATTTAAGAAATGAATTTGAGCCCTGGTTGGTTTGGCTCAGCAGTTAGAGTGTCAGCCTGCAGTCCAGAGAGACCCGGGTTCAGTTCTCGTTAAGGGCACATACCCTGGTTGCAATTTGTCCCGGCCCTGGTTGGGTCATGTGGGTGGCAACCACTCGATTGTGTCCCTTTCACCTTGATGTTTCCCTCTCTCTCTCTTCCTCTCTCTCCCTCCCACTCTGTCTGAACAAAAAATGAAAAAATGTCCTCGGGTGAGGATAATAAATAAATAAATAAGTAAATAAATAAATTTGAGAAAGTAGCAGGATTAAAAAAAATTAACATCCAGAAATCGATGGCATTCTTTTTTTTCTTTTTTCTCACCCGAGGACATTTTTCCATTTTTTGTTCAGGTAGAGTGGGAGGGAGAGAGAGGAACAGAGAGAGAGAGAAACATCGATGCTAAAGGAACACATCGAGTGGCTGCCACCCGCACAACAGACCAGGGCCGGGGACAAACTGCAACCGAGGTACGCGCCCTTAGCGGAACCGAACCCGGGTCTCTCTGGACCGCAGGCCAACGCTCTAACCGCTGAGCCAAACCGGCCAGGGCATCAATGGCATTCTTAAACACCATTATTGAACACTCAGAAAAGGAAACAAAAAAGTAATCCCATGTACCATTGCAACAACAAAAATATGATACTTAGGATTAAATTTAAACAAGGAAGTAAAAAACCTGTTCTCAGAAAATCACAGGACATTGAAAAAAAATAGAGGAAGATATAAAAAAGTGTAATTGTATACCATGTTCATGAATTGGAAGAATCAACATCATTAAACTATCCATACTACCTAAAGTAATCTATAGATTCAATGCAAGGTCTATTAAAGTACCAATGGCATATTTCACAGATCTAGAACAAATACTCCCAAAGTTTATATGGAACCAAAAAAGACCCCAAAGCACCTCAGCAATGTTGAAAAAGAAGAACAAAACTGGAGGGATCAAAATACCAGATATGAAGTTATACTACAAAGCCATCGTAATCAAAACAACCTGGTACTGCCGCAAGAACAGAGATCCCAGAAATCTGTGCATTATGTGCAATTAATATTTGACAAAGGTGGCAAGAGCATACAATGGAGAAAAAACAGTCTCTTCAATAAATGATGTTGGGCCATGGTCAGTTTGGCTCAGCAGTTAGAGCACTGGTCCACAGATCAGAGAGACCCGGGTTCAGTTTCCACTAAGGGCACGTACCTCAGTTGCAGTTTGCCCCACCCCAGTTAGGGTCGTGTGGATGGCAACCATTTGATGTGTCTCTCTCACATTAATGTTTCTCTCTCTCTATTCCTTCTTTCCCTCCTGCTCTATCTGAAGATGGATGCAAATACGTCCTTGGGTGAGGATAAAAAAATAAAATTAAAAAATAAATAAATAATGTTGGGAAAATTGGACAGGTACATGCAAAAAAAAAGAAAGAAAGAAACTTGACCACCAACTTACACCATACACAAGGATAAACTAAAAATGGACAAAAGACTTAAATGTAAGTCATGAAACCTCTAAAATCCTAGAAGAAAATGTAGACAGCAAAATCTCAGACATCACATGTAGCAGAATTTTTACCAATACATTGTCTAGGGCAAAAGAAACAAAGAAAAATTAATACATAAGATTACATCAAACTAAAAATCTTCTGCACAGCAAAAGATGGTTGGTCGTGTGGGTGGCTGCCACTTGATGTGTCCCTTTCACGTCGATGTTTCTCTCTCTCTCTCCCTCCCATTCTACCTGAACAAAAAATGGAAAAACGTCCTCGAGTGAGGATAAAAAAATAATAAATAAATAAATAAATAAATAAGGTGAAGGGAAATAGAAAAGTCACTCACACACAAGACCATCCATGTACATAAAGCTGCCAGAGGAGAGGGACAGGAAACCTGCTGGCTCACACAAACTGGCTAGGATACACAGAGCACAGGGAGAGGGTAAAGAGGCCAAATGCTCAGATTGGTGACAGGTTTAGCAAGCAAGGGAACTTACCTCTGAGTCTTGTCTCCTGGGCTACAGGACAAGTAGGTCTCCACACCCACTGAAAAAATAAATAAACAAAGTGTTTGTGCATGGAAATATTTCCCTTCCTCCTCTCCCAACTCTTTCCTAATTCCTTCCACCTCCTGTCTCCCAAACCTTACCTATCCCTGTGCCCAGGTGAAACTCTTCCCTCTAGGCCCTCCCCAGCTATGGTCCTCAGGTGCAGAGCTGTGAGGGGCCAGCAGAGGGCGCCGGGATGCCAGCCCCAGCCCTGGGCTGACAATAGGGTCTTGGAGGTTGACCTCCAAGTTCACCTGTGCTCAAGGGATTCTGGATACTTGACCCTTATCAGATATTAATTTGACATTTTTCTCCTCCAATTCTATTCTTCATATTGTTCTTTGAAGCACAGATTTTAAATTTGACAAATGTAGGGTTGGAGGTTTGGTGGATGAACAAAATGTAACCTTGAGATATGCATTCTTGCAGCCTGGCCAGCCAAGGACAAAAGCATGTGTGAGAAACACCAGCTTGGAAAGCCACCCACCAAGGGAGTGGATGTGTGGCCAGAACAGTGAGAAAGCTGGGTCCGCAGAGACACTATCTCTAGGACTTGAAGCACAGTGTAACCTAGGGAACCGCTAAGAGAATAAATTGGGCTGCATCCAAAAATCAAGAGCATTTGCTCCCTTGCAATGCTCCCCTCACTCCAAGCCTGTCTGCTTGTAGTTCATGGTGTTGTGACGACTGCTGGCAGCTGAGAGTCAGCTGTGGCCCCCAGCATGGGAAATGAATACACACATCGAAGTGACTTGAATACCAGCAACTTGACTCTACGGGACCAGCAACACCATGGTATGTGACAAGGAATTAGACAGGGAGTTAGGATCCAGATCAAAGTAAAAGTACACTCACTCGGGTTATCTCCAGTCAGCAGTGCCCGGTTTGGGACAGCTGCCCACATACCTAGTATCGTGAGGGGTTACCAGTAGGACAGCATGGGGTCGGGGCTTTCTAAAGCTCAGCGACTTTACCCGCAGATCTTAGGACAGCTGCTGAGAGCAGCTCAAAGCTCCGAATCTGGGGGATGTGCAAGAGCACTGCCCAGGGCTCCCTGAAAAGGGCATGTCAGATTCCGATGTGCGGTTCAAAGTGGGGAAACTTTTCGGGTGCACAAGAATTTGGGTGCAATCTCTTCACCTCCACACTTCTCTTATGGCGACTGGTATTTACAGCACCGCATCTGCTAACTAAGGACATCAGCCCTAGCAGCACCGGCTCTAATCTCCCAACTCCCACCACCCCCACCCCGGTCATCAAAGGAGGAAAATTCTCCTCCCCCTCCTCCACCTTTTGTGGAGGACCCCTCAGCGTCTGAGTGCCCAGCTAGGAAAGCTGGGAATTATGGGCAATGAGATAAATAAGTAAATAAATAAATAAATAAAATAAGGAGGAAAAAAGAGAGTAGTTTTGTCTTAAAGGAACACTGTCTGGTTGTGCCAGAATGTGAAAGGCCATAGTAAAAGATAAACCTGAGGGTGTGCAGTACGTTGGAGCAGGCTTGGGGGGAAGCAGACCTCATTTGCCTTAGTTAACAATGCCTGCAAACAATGGGTTTAAAGAGACAATGAAATATGTTGAAATTTTGACCATATGAGATCGATTTTAGTAGATTTATTCATAAGGGGGGAAAAGATGGATTCATCTTTTACCATAAAATGTCCCTGTTCAAATAAGCCCCTACTGGAGTTTTCGGCCCCTTGTGGGAGGGAAGGATGGGTTTAATGATTGGACGATCTGATCTAGATTAACACGGAAAGGACTTCAAGCGACGCCAGGGGTAACTGACTCAGATTATGAACAAGTGATTAAAATGTTACTTAAGCCCGGCCGGTGTGGCTCAGTGGTTGAGTGTCAACCCATGCACCAAGAGGTCACCGGTTCGATTCCTGGTCAAGGGCACATGCCTAGGTTGTGGACCCGATGCCCAGTAAGGGGGCATGCAAGGGGTGGTCTTCCTCTCTCTCTAAAAATCAATAGAAGAAAAAGATGTTTTAAATGTTGCTTAAGGTGGTGGGCTTTCATGGATTAACACTGGAACTGGACTAGCTCAACTCTTCTTGTTACCATACTGGGTCCCTGGACCCACCTCCACAGTAAGAGAGAACGCAGGGTTTGGGGCGCTGGTCAGTGTGATGTTTTCTGGATGGCTGCTATTAACACCAGGAAGCCCTTGCTCTCCATTATTATACAAGGGCAACTATTTTCAGGATTAGTGGATACAGGGGCAGACCTTTTTTATTATAACAGCAAGGGAGTGGCCTGAGAAATGGCCTATAATTGTCATAGGTCTTAAGAATTTTTTTTTTTTACACTATCTCTTTAGACCCTGCAGATTGAGAGAAATTCGCTTTTTCTTTTCCCTCCATTAACAGTGGTGAACCAATGCAACGGTTTCAATGGAAGGTACTACCCCAAGGAAGGATGAATAGTCAAACAATCTGTCAATACTATGTCCATCATGCTATTGATCCAGTAAAGAAACAATTTCCTGCCATTTATCTATACCGTTATATGGATGATATTTTGTTAGCTGCCTCTACCCCAAAAGAAGTGGATCAGGCCTATGTAATGCTTCAGTAGACTTTGAAAGAGGCAGGATTACAAATTGCTCCAGACAAGGTATAGCAATTAGAACCTTGGCAATACTTGGGGTGGATATTAGGGGCAAGAACTATTCACCCCCAGAAACTTACCATTCTAGTACAGGTAACAACTTTAAATAAATTACAAAAATTGCTGGGGGCCATCGATTGGCTTCAACCTACACTTGGTACCACTACTCAGCAGTTAACTCATTTATTTAACACTCTCAAGGGTGATCCAGCACTAGTTCACCTAGAACTCTATCTACAGAGGCACAGCAGGAACTTAGAAAAATTACCACTCAAACAGAAACTGGCAAGCTCATCATGGGTCATTAAAAGACCCTATTGGGTATTTGTATATCCAACTGCGCCATACCCTACAGCATTAATAGGACAATTAACACCTGATATAAAATATCTTGAATGAATCTTCTCCCAGCTACCTGTCTAAAACAATAACTTCATTTATTGAACAGTTAGAAAATCTAATAGCCAAAAGTAGAAAAAGAACACAGGAACTGACAGGGTATGACCCTCAGATTCTACATTTACCTCCTACTTGGGAACAATTTACCACTTTGATTTCCCAGGCAATACATTTTTCAAGTAGCTCTAGCATATTTCATTGGGGGAAATTAATTATTCTCTTCTGGCAAATAAATTCTTACAAAATATTCCTCAATTACACCTTGACGTGGTATGAAAAGCAGTAATACCCCATTACCTGGGGCTGGAACTGTATTCACTGATGGATCAGGTAGCTCTCACAAAGCAGGTGTAACCTGGCAAGAAAACGAGGAATGGAGGAATATTAGCAGCCTTGAGCCTGAATTACAGGCTGCAATATTAGCTCTTCAGCAATTTACAGAAGAGCCTTTAAATATAGTTAGTGATTTACAATGTAGTTACAGTGTTACAAAGAATAGAACAAGCCTTTGTTAAACATTTAGCTGATCAGCATCTATTAACCTTATTCTTGTCTCTCCAAACTTTGATAGACCAACAGAATCATTCTATTTTTATAACCTGCACATGATCTCATCCCACCCTCCCCGGAACTTTAACCCGAGGAAATCAGCAGGTGGATGCCATCGTAGCAGCAACTCTTGCATTTCAGCAAGCGCAGAATTCGCATGCCTTTTTTCACCAGAATGCTTGAGCACTCATGGAAACCTTTCATTTGACCATCTCGCAAGCTCAAGATATTATTGTTTTGTTTTGTTTTTTTATCCTCACCTGAGCACATTTTTCCATTTTTTGTTCAGGTAGAGTGGGAGGGAGAGAGAGGAACAGAGAGAGAGAGAAACATCGATGTGAAAGGGACACATCGAGTGGCTGCCACCCGCACAACCGACCAGGGCCGGAGACAAACTGCAACCAAGGTACATGCCCCTAGCGGGAACCGAACCCGGGTCTCTCAGGACCACAGGCTGACGCTCTAACCGCTGAGCCAAACCGGCCAGGGCAAGATATTATTGTTTAAAAATTTTTTTCTTTACTGATTTTAGAGAGAGAGGGAAAGGAGAGAGAGATAGAAACATGGATGAGAGAGAACATCGATTGGCCACCTCTTGCATGCCCCCCACTGGGGACGGGCCCACAACCTGGGCTTGTGCCCTGACCGGGAATCCAACCAGTGACTTCTTGGTGCAGGGTCGATGCTCAACCACTGAGCTACACTAGCTGGGCAAGCTTCAGATATTATTAAGGCTTGCCCAGATCGCCAACTTTCTGGAGGGACTCCAACATCAGCAGGAGTCAATCCTCAGGGTTTAACCCCTAATGCCTTGTGGCAAACAGATGTCACACATATTCCATCCTTTGGTTGGTTTCAGTGGGTACATGTTACTATAGATACCCATTCCAGTTTTCTACATGCAACCACTGCTACCGGGAAAAAAGCCAAAGACATTAAGCATCACTGGCTGTCCTGTTTTGCACATATGGGGGTGCCACTGGATATTAACATAGATAATGGGCCAGCCTACACATCTCAAAGCACTAAATTATTTCTCCAACAGTGGAGCATTGGGCATAAAACTGGCATCCCCTATAACCCTGCAGGGCAAGCTAATATTGAACGTGCTCATGCTACTTTAAAATTACCAATTAAAAAACAAAAATGAGGGAATATGGGTGAACCCCCTGTGAATCAACTCTCTCTGGCAAGCTATACCCTTAATTTTTTTAAATCAAGATCGCTTCGGTACCACGGCTGCAGAGTGACATTTTCAACAAAATTCTTCCACCACAGGGCCCAAGCCTGTGGTCCGGCACCGGGACCCACAGCAGAGGCCTGAGTGGCGAGGTCCTGCAGTTATTGGTGGGGGTGTGCTTGTGTTTGTCTCCTACAGGTCCCAAGTGGTTGGCAGCTCAGTGGACGAGACCTTACCATGAGTTGGAAGGACGTGCCCTTCAATCCGGTTCCTCAGACAGCGCAGCTGACCTTGGATGCTAATGTAACACCCGCTATTAGCTAAAGCATCAGCACATCCTCGTAGGAGGAGGACTCCCAGGGCTCTGGCGAATGGTGTCCTCTATGCAGAAGACCGAAAAGCGAGTGATGACGCTTCCGACCATCGCAGCTGTGGCGATTCCTCAGTTACAAAGAAATAATGAAGAGGGAAACATAAGGTTGGGGGTTTGGTGGATGAACAAAATGTAACCTTCAGATATGCATTCTTGCAGCCTGGCCAGCCAAGGACAGAAGCATGCGTGAGAGACACCAGCTTGGAAAGCCGCCCACCAAGGGAGGGGATGTGTAGCCAGAAGAGTAAGAAAGCTGGGGCCGCAGAGACTCTATCTCAAGGACGTGATTACCTAAAGCACAGTGTGACCAAGGACACCGCTTTGCAAACAAACCGGCTGCATGCAGAGATCGGGAGCATGTGCTCCCTTGCAATGCTCTCCTTCACGCCAAGCCCGTCTGCTTGTAGTTCATTGCTTTGGGATGACCCCTGGCAGGCCGAGTCGACAGACAGATCCCATTTATCTTTTTTTTTTTTGCTTGTGCTTTTGGTATCATATCTAAGAAACCTTAATCCAAGGTCAGAAAGATTTATACATGTTTTCTTCTAAGCGTTCCTTTATTTATTTATTTATTTATTTTCCTCACCCAAGGACGTTTTTCCATTTTTTGTTCAGATAGAGTGGGAGGGAGAGAGAGAGAGAGAAACATCAATGTGAAAGGGACACATCGAGTGGCTGCCACCCACACGACCAACCAGGGCCAGGGACAAACTGCAACCGAGGTATGTGTCCTTAGCGGGAACCGAACCTGGGTCTCTCTGGACCGCAGGCCGACGCTCTAACCGCTGAGCCAAACCGGCCAGGGCTAAGCATTCCTTTATTTAGATCTTGATCCATTTTGAGTTACTTTTGCATCTGATGCGATCCAAGTTTATTCTTCTGTGTGGACTTCCCATGGTCCCAGTAGCATTTGCTGAAAATCAGCTTACCAAAAGGTGTGGGATAATTTTTGGACTCCTGATTCTATTACATTTATCAGTTTCTAAAAATAACAACAATAACAAAAATTTTATTTTATTTTTTTTATCCTCACCCGAGGACATTTTTTCATTTTTTGTTCAGATAGAGTGGAAGGGAGAGAGAGGAAGAGAGAGAGAGAGAGAAACATCGATGTGAGAGAGACACATTGAGTGGCCGCCACCCACATGACCCCAACTAGGGCTGGGGACAAACTGCAACCAAGGTACGTGCCCTTAGCAGGAACTGAACCCGGGTCTCCCTGGACTGCAGGCCGATGCTCTAACCGCAGAGCCAAACCAGCCAGGGTCCAACTGGAATTTTAAAAATTGATAGATCAATTTGGGGACTCCGTCAGCACTTTGAAGAGCAAAAGCCACATGGAGAACGAGGAGAGATTTTGCAGAGTCTTGACCTTGGATGATAGTTCCAATTGGATGCTCTTTTCTCGAACAGCTCTGGCTCAAGTAAGAGGCCCTCCTACCACCAGGCACCTAAGGACAGAGGTGAGGTCCTGGCAGGAGTGTCCAAGGGATGGAGCTGTCCATTCATTAGTCAGAATCTGAACTGGGAGAGGTGCCCATCCCAAAAGCTATGTCGTTGAACATCCATGGCAACATTAATTCAGAAATTTTACCAACTGAAACATCTCACTTCCAGGAACAACAGAACGAGGCAGGCCTCAAAGACGATGGACAGGGACATTTAATGCTGTACCGGTATATTTGTAAAAGACCAGAAACAACCTAAATGCCCATGAATGGACAGGAAGTGTGATGTACTCATACCGTGGCACAGTGTGAGGCCATAAAAACATATGCTGATAAGAAGCCATGTGTAGCCCTGGCTAGTGTGGCTCAGCTGGTTGGAGCATCGCCCCATGCACTAAAGGGTAGAGAGTTCGATTCCCGATCAGGGCACCTGCCCAGTCGGGGCATGTTTCTCTCTCATGTCAATGTTTCTCTCTCTTCCTCTCCCTTCCCCATTCTAAGATGAATTAAAAATTTTTTTTGAAGAAACCATGTGTAGTCCAGCCTGTGTGGCTCAGTGGTTGAGCATCAACCCATGCACCAAGAGGTCGCCGGTTCAATTCCCAGTCAGGACACAGGTTGTGGGCCCGATCCCCAGTGGGGGGATGCAGGAGGTGGCCAATCGATGTTTCTCTCTCTCCCTGTCACTTTCTCTGTCTCTGAAATCAATAAAGAAAAAAAGTTTAAAAAAAAGAAACCATGTATATCATAAACTATCATTTCTTAAAATGAAAAGAAACATATCCTTGTATATCTCTGTGGGGTATTACTTTTCTCTGAATAATGTTTTTCATATTCAAATGTGTATACTTTTAATATTGTAAGTTTCTCTTATCTCTGACAGAAATGAGCACTTTGGATCAAGGCCTTACTCATCAAACTAGAAGCCATATCATATGTTCTCAATTTATAGTTACGTTGCATTTCTTGAAATGACAGTACGGTATCACAACCAAGAAGCTGGTATTGACACAGGACACCCATTACCTCTGGTCCCACTGGGTTCACATGTACTCACTCTGTGTGAGTTCCGTGTACCTTCATTACATGTGTGTTTATGTTACACGTCACAGCAGGGTTCACAACATTTCCATGACAAGGGTCCCTCGTGTTGCCTTTTCTACCCTCATGGACCCCTCCCCATCCCTAACCCCTGGAAACTGCTAATGTATTCTCCATCTCTTTAATGTTGTCATTTCAAGAATATTATATGCTCAACAATAAGAAAATAAATAACTTGATTAAAAATGGACAAAAGGCCTAAATGGACAGTTCACCAGAGAAGATACACAGATGGCAATTAAGCGTATGAAAAGGTGCTCTGCGCCATGTATCATCAGGGAATTGCAAATCTGAGCAACAAGGAGGTCCTACTACTCAGGTATCAGAATCGCCAAAATCCCAAGCACTGAATGCTGGCGAAGATGTGGAGCAAAAAACCTCTAATTGCTTGCCGGTGGGAATGCACAGTGGTAAAACCACTTTGGAAGACAGTTTGACGGTTTCTGACAAAACTAAAAATACTCTTACCATAGGATCCAGCCATAACACTTCTTGATATTTATCCAAATGAAGAGAAAACATATGTCTACCCAAGAGTGAGTGTTTGCAGCAGCTTCCTCCACCAGCACATGCCCTTGCAGCCAGCCTCCCTCTGGCTGTGGGCATTTCCCAGGCTCAAAGCACGACACCTTGGTGATTATGAAGATAGGTGCCAAAAACATGAGGCTATGCTTTCAGCTTTATCTATTTAAAAATGTGTGTGTGTGTGTGTGTGTATATACATATATGTATATGTATTGCATTTATCTTCAGATAGAGCAGGAGGGAGAGAAGGAGGAAGAGAGAGAGAAACGTCAATGTGATAGAGACACATCAAGTGGCTGCCATCTGCATGACCCCATCTGGGGTTGGGGACAAACTGCAACCAAGGTACATGCCCTTAGTAGGAACCAAACCTGGGACTCCCTGGTCCATGGGCTGACGCTCTAACTACTGAGCCAAACCAGCCAGGGCCATGTTTTGAGCTTCAACTAGAGGCCATTCCTCAGGGACTATCCAGGGGAATGCACACACAGTGGAGACTTGCAGAGCTGTGAGCACATGGATGGAACCTCTTACTGTAACAGTCGTAGCCACAGTGGGAAGAACACCGACATCCCAGCCTCAGCTGGGCACTGGAGTTAGGAGAACATCTGAACAGCCCCTCCATCGACTCCCTCTAGCATCCAGCAGATTGATGTCACTGACAGTGATGAGGAGGAAGAAGAAAAATCACTCAGGAATTTAGAATTTTAAAACAAGTATGTGCAGAAAATAAACATTTCTTAAAATATATTCTGGGTCCGTTGCTGTAAGAAGAAAGAGCCTGGCATGCTTGGCTGAGAGTTTTCGGCCAGATTTCAGGAGTCAAATCAAACGTAATTTACGCCTTCGAAAAGTTTTTCCCTGGCTGGTGTGGGTCAGTGGTTAGAGCGTTGGCACAAGTGCTGAAGGGTCTCGGGTTTGATTCTAGGTCAAGGGTATGTAGCTGGGTTGCAGGTTCCATCCCCGACCCCAGTTGGGGCATGGGCGGGAAGCAACCAATTGATGTGTTTTTCTCGCATAGATGTTTCTTTTTTTTCTTCAATCCTCACCGGAGGACATTTTTTCATTTTTTGTTCAGATAGAGTAGGAGGGAGACAGAAGAAGAGAGAGAAACATTGATGTGAAAAGGACACATCAAGTGGCTGCTACCCGCACAACCCAACCAGGGCCGGGGACAAACTGCAACCGAGGTACATGCCCGTAGTGGGAACCAAACCCGAGTCTCTCTGGACTGCAGGCTGACGCTCTAACCACTGACCCAAACCTGCCAGGGTGCATGGATGTTTCTTTCTCCTGCCCCCAACCCCTTCTCTAAAAGTTAATAGAAAATATATCCTTGGGTGAGGATTAACCATAATAAAAAAAGTTTTCATTAGTGAAACTGAAGTCCTGATGGTTCATCGTAGGAGTATTTAGTAGTTTATTTTTATGGCAGAAATCTGCATCAACATACATTATCACTTTATTTTGGAATGTGCAAAATACAATTTTTTGTTTGATCTTTATATAGTTCTTATGGATGTCAACTTCCATGTAACATTTTGAAAATATTTTGATAACTTTTAGGACTCAGTTACTAAATTTAATTTATATTGATAACCAATTATAAGTTGCAAATGTGTTTTAATGTCACCTGGGTAATTTCTTCAGCTAAATTAGTCATTTCTGTTTCTAAATATTTTCATCATCTTTTTCGGATATCTTTTTCCATTTGGTATTCATTGTTCTCCTTTAGTTATAATTAAACAAACACAGCTAAAATTGTTTTTTAAAAGAATATTGTATTAATTAAATCATGTATTATGTAACCTTTTGGGATTGGATTTTTTTTGAAGAGTTTATGAATTTTTAGAGAGACAGTAAGGGAGAAGAGAGAAACGCTGATGTGAAAGCCCAACACTGATGAGTTACCTCCCGCAGGGGTCAAGCCCGCAACCCGCCTGGGGATCAAACAAGCAACCTTCAGGTGCAGGAGATGATACTCAACCAACTGAGCTACACTGGCCAGGGTTGGGGCTGGATTTTTTATTCAGCATAATTCTCTGGAGATTTATCCAGCTTGTTGTGTGTTTCCAGAATTTATTACTTTTATTGCTCAATACTACTTACATGGTGGTGGTTGTTTTCATCCTCACCTGAGGATATTCCTCCACTTATCTTCAGAGTGGGAGAGAGGGAGAGACAAACATCGATGTGAGAAAGAGACATCGACTGGTTGTCTCCTGCATGACCCTGACCAGGGCTGGGGACTGAACTGCAACCAAAGTACATGCCCTTGACCGGAATCGAACCCATGACTCTTGGGTCTGTGGGCCAATGCTCAAACTGCTGAGCCAAACTGGCCATGGCCAGTTGTTTTTTTTAAGCATCAACCTGATAAAATATAATTTGGGTTGTTTCCAGCTTGGGGATTTTTATGATTAAAGCTACTATGAATCTTTGTGTACACATTTTTATGTGAACAGAAGTTCTCATTTCTCTGAGGTAAATGCCCAGGAATGAAACTGCGGAGTCCTATGGTAACAGCATGTTTGGTTTCATAAGAAAAATCAGTTTCCCAGAGTGGCTGCACCATTTCACCGTTCCCAAAGCAGCGTGTGACTGATCCTGTGTCTCTGCACCTTTGCCAGCATTTGTTGCTGTCACTGTTTTTTCCTATTATTTAGCCCTTCTGATAGGTATACAGTTGTATATTCTTCTTTTAAGCTGAAATTTGAAACATGCCTATATTACCTGAAACAATCACAGTATTTTAAAAAATAAGGCCATGTAAGCAGGCACATGAGAGCAACTGATAGTGGGATACCAATAGATTCATTTAAAATAAGTGGATCAAACCCTGACTGGTTTGGCTCAGCAGCTAGAGCGTCAACCCACAGACCAATGGAGTCATGGGTTCGATTCTGGTCAAGGGCATGTACCTTGGTTGCGGTTTCCCTGGTCAGGGTCGTGTGGGAGACAACCAGTCAATGTGTCTCATATCAATGTTTCTCTGTCCCTCCCTCCCACTCTATCTGAAGATAAACAGAAAAATATCCTCAGGTGAGAATTAAAAATAAATAAATAAGCTGGTCAAGCCTGGCCAGTGTGGCTCAGTGGTTGAGCGTCGACCCATGCACCAAGAGGTCACCAGTTTAATTCCGGGTCAGGACACATGCCCAGACTATGGGCCCGATCCCCAGTGGGGGGCATGCAGGAGATGGCCAATTGATGTTCTCTCTCATCGATCTTTCTCTCTCTCCCTTTCCCTTCCTCTCTACAATCAATAAAGAAAATAAATAAATAAAATAAAAAAACCTTACATGTGAAGGTTCATTGTGGGCTCTCTATTCTATTTCATTGGTCTATATGTCTGTTTGTGCCAGCATCATACTATTTTGCTTACAGTAGCTTTGTAGTAAGTTTTGAAATAGGGAAATGTGAGTCTTCCAAATTTCTTTTTTCAATATTGCTTTGACTATTCGGTCTCCCTTAAAATCCCATGAGTTTCAGCACAGGTTTTTTATATTTATGCCCTAATGTTGTTTGGATTTTAAGAGGGATTGCATTGAATCTGTAGAATTCTTTGAGTAGGATTGTCATCTACCAATATTGTCTTCCAGTCCATGAACATAAAAAGTCTGAGCCAGCGGGAGATCACATCCACAGCACAAGGCCAGTGTAGAGCAAAATGGCTTTATTGCATCTGTCTGGGTGCAGGCGGGCTGAGCTGAGAAGGGGTCAGCCTCCAATTAGGGTTGGGGTGTAGGTTATATACCCTAACTTTAGCTTCCAGGAGTTCCTGCTGACGTACTCTGCACAGCCCATTGTCCACTTTGCAGTTGGACTGGTCTGGTATCTCATCCGGCATCTGCTGGGCAACACAAATTCCAGTTTCTGCCTTTTACAAACTTTTACCTTTACCCTTTAAAACATTATGAACCCTTTCAGAACACAGAATGTCTTTCCATATTTGTCTTCTTTAATTTCTTTTAGCATTGTTTTGCCGTTTTTGGTCTACAGGGTTTGCCTCTTTGGTTAAATTAATTCCTAAATATTTGTATGTTATCTAAATGGAACTGTTTTCTTAATTTTCTCTATAGAATGTTCATTGTTAACCCTGGCCAGTTTGGCTCAGCGGTTAGAGCGTCGGCCTGAGGTCCAGAGAGGCCCGGGTTTGGTTCCCACTAAAGGTGTGTACCTCGGATGCAGTTTGTCCCTGGCCCTGGTTGGTCGTGTGGGTGGCAGCCACTCGGTGTGTCCCTTTCACGTTGATGTTTCTCTCTCTCTTCCTCTTTCTCCCTCCCACTCTATCTGAACAAAAAATGGAAAAATGTCCTCGGGTGAGGATAAAAAAAAAAGTTCATTGTTATAGAAACGCCACTGATTCTTGTCTGTTAATTAGCTCTCACAGGTTTTGTGTGGGAAGTCGGTGTGAAATCTTTAGCATTTTCTACATAGATGTGTCATCTATGGACAAAGATAATTTTACTTTTCAATTTGGATGCCTTTTATTTATTTTTGCCTAATTGCTCTGGCTAGGACTTCCAGTACCATGTTGAATACAAGGGGCAAGATGGGCATTCTTGTCTTGCTTCTGATCTTTTTTTATTTTTTTTATTCCTCACCTGAGGATATTCTTCCATTTATCATTAGACAGAGTGGGAGGGAGAGAGAGACACAGAAACATCGATGTGATAGAGCCACATTGACTGGTTGCCTCCCACTCGACCCGACCTGGGCTGGGGACAAACTGCAACTGAGGGATTTGCTCTTGACCGGAATCGAACCGTGACTCATTGGTCTGCAGACTGATGCTCTAATTGCTGAGCCAAACTGGCCAGGGCTTGCTTCTGATCTTAAGGGTATAGCTTTCAGCCTTTCACCATTGAGGATGGTATTTACTGGCTTTTATCATGTTGTGGAAGTTTCCTTCCATTTCTAGTTTGTTGACTGGTTTTATCCTAAAACGGTGTTAGGCCTCGTCAAATGTTTTTCTGCATCAATTGAGATGGTCATGTGGATATTTCCCCCCCTTCGTTCTGTTAATGTGGCATATTACATTGGTCAATTTTCATATGATGAACCATCTTTACATTCTGGGAATAAGTCCCATTTTGTCATGGGGTGTGACCATTTCAATACACAACAGAATTTGGTTGGCTAGTATTTTGTTGAGGATTTTTGTAGCAATATTCACAAGGGATAAATGGTCTGTAAGGATGCTTTTAAAGGCATATGAAAATTGCTCAACACCCCTGGTTGATGATGGGGCTACACGGAACTGAACATGACAGTATGCTGAGGAAGGAAGGAACAGGAAGAGCACCTGTACTTGCAGCTCTGGAACCCGGCCTTGCACACTTCCTGCAGAGCTGGAGAAGTGGGATCACTCTGGTTTAAATGGTGTGGGAGCGTGGGAGATTGTTTCTCCTTGAATATTTTAAATCAACTTTAGGTGTGGTTATATAAGAAAATCTGTAGTTTTTTATATAAACACATCCGGAAGTACTGATAGGTGGAGGACATGATGTTTGGTGTGTTTTAAAATACTCCAGATGAAGTGGAGATGGGGACAGTGAAGTAAGCAGACGGGGTCGATTGTAGTTGAAGCTGCATGGATACACACACTGTTACGTTATGCTCTTGACTTTAGCGTCTATTTTGAAAAAAAATTTTTTTAATATTTTAAAAAATTTTAGTGTTATAATTGCATTGTCTTCATTAAGCATGAGAAAACAAAATAAAAAAATCATTTACCTGTCTGTTCAGAAGTGTGGCAGGCTGCCATCAGCACCGGTCGACTGCTGGGTGGCTGCCCTGCTAGCGACACGGATTCTGATCTCATGCTTTAGCCTGCTTACTTTATTTTAATATTTTTTATTTATTGATTTTAGAGAGGAAGGGAGAGGGAGGGAGGGAGGGGGAGGGGGAGGGAGAAAGGGAGGGAGGGAGGGAGGGAGGGAGGGAGAGAGAGAGAATGAATCATTAATTAGAGGTGCATGGGTTGGCATTCAACCACTGAGACACACTAGCCTGGCAAGGTTTCTTATTTTTGACAAGGGTTCCAAGAGTAGTCAATGGGGGAAGGACTTTTCAACAAAGGCACTGGGAAAACTGGATATCCAACGCATACAAAAGAGTGAAGTTGGACCCTTACCTCACTCCATATACAAAAACTAGCTCAAAATGGTTCAAAGACCTAAACGTATACATTTCTCAGAAGAAAACCCAGGGGGAAATTTTCATGACATTGGATTGGGCAATTTCTTGGATAATGACACTAAAAGCACAGGCAATAAACCAAAGAAATAAGACAAAATGGACTTCATCCAAGTTAAAAATTATGTGCATCGAAAGGAACTTTCAAAAAGTGAAGAGAGACTCCTGACTTCCGGTCAAGATGGCAACGTAGGTAAACACGGTATCGCGTCCTCCCACAACCACATCAAAGTTACAACTATACTACAGAACAACCATCATTCAAAACCGCCTGAAATCAAGCTGAATGGAAGTCCTACAACTACGGAATTAAAGCAGCAGCCACATCCAGACTGGTAGGAGGGGCGGAGGGGTGGTGGCCGCAGCAGCAGAGGCCGCTGCTGCAGCGGCGAGAAGGGCTGGTCCCACACCCAAGTGTGGCGGATAAAAATCAGGAGGCTCCCGCGGCTGGGAAGGTCCTTCCTGAGGACTGAGGGGTCCCCGTCCCACACCAGGTGCCCCGCTCAGGGTTCCAGTGCCAGGAAGAGAATCCCCATAACTTCTGGCTGGAAAAACCAGCGGGAACTGAGGCTCATGAAAGCTGACACGGCTGGAGCCCCAGGCAGCTCCTTAAAGGGCCCGCGCACGAACTTATCGGACTCACTCCCTCTAAGCTTGGAGGGGAGGCAGCTCGAGGGATGCCAGAGACATACAGGGAAGAACTGAGCTGTTTGGCATTGGAGCGAGGGCTGGAGAGGGGGCTTTCTCGGGGACAAACGTGCTGTCAGAGGCCTTTGTTCCTTTGGTGAGCCCTTCCCTGGGGCGGCAGACAGTCGCCATATCTGGGACTCCAGCAACCTGGCTCACACTGGTAGCCCCGCCCTGCTGACTCCCTGAGGCCCCGCCCCACCCCGCCCCGCCCCACCCCACCCAACTTTCAAGCCCACCCAAGCTGTTGCCACTTGCTTAACCATAGGATTGGCCGGTCTTGGATCCTGCTTCAGGTTTTTCCTAAATTCTTTCAAACGAGCATTATCTGGTCTCAGCGAGCCCCATACCTCTCATTAAGTAATACTGTACACTGAAACAAACACAGGGAGGCAGCCAAAATGAGGAGACAAAGAAACAAGTCCCAAATGAAAGAACAGAACAAAACCCCAAGAAAAGAACTAAGCGAAATGGAGATAAGCAACCTAACAGATACCGAGTTCAAAATACTGCTTATAAGGATGCTCAATGAACTTAGTGAGAACCTCAGTGAACTTAGGGAGGGCCTCAAGAGCATAAAAAAGGACCAGTTAGAAATCATGGATACACAGTTAGAATTGAAGGAGGCATTAACTGAAATAAAGAATAATTTAAACAGCTTCGATAATAGAGTACATAAATCCAAGGAGCAAACCATCGATTTGGAATATAAGGAAGCAAAAAATCCCCAATCAGAACAGCCAAAAGAAAAAAGAATCCAAAGAAATGAGGATAGTGTAAGGAGCCTCTGGGACAACTTCAAGCATGCCAACATTCGCATCTTGGGGGTGCCAGAAGGAGAAGAGCGAGAACAAGAAATCGAAAACCTGTTTGAAACAATAATGGCAGAAAACTTTCCTAACTTGGTGAAGGAAACAGACATACAAGTCCAGGAAGCACAGAGAGTCCCAAACAAGATGAACCCCAAGAGGCCCACACCAAGACACATCATCATCAAAATGCAAAAGGTTCAAGACAAAGAGAGAATCTTAAAAGCAGCAAGAGAAAGGCAGCTAGTTACTTACAAGGGAGTTCCCATTAGGCTGTCAGATATTTCTCAAAAGAAACTTTGCAGGCCAGAAGGGAGTGGCAAGAAATATTCAGAGTGATGAAAAGCAAGAACCTACAACCAAAATTACTCTATCCTGCAAAGCTGTCATTTAGAATCGATGGACATATAAAAACTTTCCCAGACAAGAAAAAGTTAAAAGAGTTCATCACTACCAAACCGTTATTATATGAAATGATGAAGGGTCTTTTTGAAGAAAAAGATAAAATGTATGAACAAACAAAATGGCAATGAATACATATCTATTAACAATGGAATCTACAAACAAAATGAACAGGTAGAACAGAAACATCCTCATAGATACAGAGAACATTTTGTTGGTTGCCAGTTGGGAGGGGGTTTGGGGGAATGGGTGAAAAAGGTGAAGGGATTAAGCAGCACAAATTCATTGCTAGACTGACAAACCTCAAAGGGAAAGGGGTTGGGGGGGGAGGGAAATAAACCAAAGAACTTATATGCATAACCAATGGACACAGACAATAGCGTGGGAAAAGGTGGGAGGGGGGCAGGAGTGGGGAGGAGGGGGTCAATGGGGGAAAAATGTGGAACATCTGTAATACATTTTACATCCAATAATAAAGATTTAAAAAAAAAAAAAAGAAAGAAGAGACTCCTCAGAATGGGAGATGATGTTTGTATATCATACATCTAACAAGTGATTACTATCCGGAATATAGAAATAACTCCTACAATTCAACAACCTAAATCTAATAGCTCCATTTAAAAATTGGCCAACAACTCCGACATTTCTCTAAAGATGATATACAAATGTCCAGTAAGCACACAGAAAGTTCACCAACATCAGTAGTCATTTGTAACCAAAATAACAATATTATACCATGTCACACCCATTTGCATGGCTATTATCTTTAAACACAGAAAGTAACAAGTGTCGGTGAAGCTGTGGAGAAACTGGAACCCTCACACACTGCTGGTGGGAATGTGAAATGGTGCGGCCACTGTGCAGAACGGTTTGGCAGTTCCTCAAAAGGTTCAACATAATTACCACACGATCTAGCGATTCCCTCCTAGGTACACTCAGAAGAACTGGTACAAACAACCTGTGCTCATCAGCAGATGAATGGATAAACTAGATGTAGTATATCCATACCATGGAATATTACTTAGCCATAAAATGGAACCAGGTTCTGGTACATGCTATATCATCGATACACCTTGATTTCATTGTGCTAAGCAACAATCATTGCTCCAGAGCCCGTCCCAGCCAAGCTGACCACAGTCCCCACATGGCAGGTGTGATCTCTGAACAGGGCTGGTGAGGTGAGGCGAGGTCAAGGCTACAGTGAAGTTCATCTTCTTCAGCTGCCTCTCTTGTTGCTTCCTCCTTCCTTCTGCAGACCTTGATCCCTAACAAACATCTCTCCCACCAAACTGTATCTCAGCAGTGGCTTCCTGCTTCTGGAGAACTCAAATGGTAACACACCCCAAGTGGATCTGGTCAACACCGGCTTGAAATTGATGATGCAGCCTGGCCAGTGTGGCTCGGTGGATGGAGCATCGTCCCACAGATGTCCCAGTTGGATTCCTGGTCAGGGCATATGCCTGGATTGTGGGCTCCATCCCCAGGAGGGGGTGTGAAGGAGGGAGCCAATCAATGTTCTCTCTCATCAATGTTTCCCTCTCCCTTCCTCTCTCTCTCAAAAAATCAATAAAAACATATTTAAAAAGAAATTGATGATGCAGACATCTGGCTAGGGCAGTTTTACAATCTGATGCCTACAGTCCCCCTCAGCACCTGTATACACAGGAACATGTGCACACTCCCATCATGCCCTGAATCCAACTCTTGTCCCTCACCCACCCATGGGCCATGCTTGGTCATCATTCCACCTCCGCCTCTCCCGGATGCTGTTTTTCACCTTCTGTGTCTGAAAAACACCTGAGCATCCTTTAAAACCCAGCCCACCACCACTCGCTCAGCGACCTGTTCTGGATCCTCCAGCCCCAGCGCTGCCCCCTGCTGGCCCTCAAGTGCCCTGTGTGTCATCAGCTCAGTGAGCTGCAACGTGAACACCAGAGGCCTGTGTCCTGCTTCCCCCCTCAAGGCTGGGAGCTAGGTTCTAGATTCACGAACACCTGGGTTCAGATTCTGGGCTTCTCTCATACAAGGTATGTGACCTCTTTATGTCTCAGTTTCCTCATGTAAAAAATGGGAAGTGATACCTGCCTTGTAACTTGTGAGGCCTGTGGGATGGTGCGTGCATGCAAAGTGTTTGGCATCTGGCTTGGAGCAGTATAAATGCTCAGTGAGTATGTTGGGTCTTCACCTCCACCCTTACCGTGTCCAAACACCCAAGGCCTGACACAGAGGATTTACTAAATGAAGAACACTTGCGCCAAAGACTCAGCCTACAGCATACAAAATGAGTATGTGGGGGACACCACGCCATTCACTGTGCAGGCAACTGAGCCAGTGCACCTATCACCGAACAGGAGAGGCTTTCCAACTCAGCCACACTGGATAGCCATGGGCAGAGGTGATAGGATTCCAGGAGGAGGAAGTCACATGGGCACACAGAGCTCTTGAGGGGACAGAGGGGAAAAGACTGCAAGGCTGCCGAGGTGCCCACACCCAGGCCAGGCCCCAGCCTGGACACTTGTGCCCATGAGCATCCTGTCCCTTCACTCAGGTTGGGGAAAGTGGGAGATTGGAGTCTTGGCTTACAAAGGCAGAACGAATTTCTGGTAGGATGTCACATCCCTTTGTCCCCAGGCATCCTACTGATTCTTGAGGGGACACTGAGGGTGTTCCCTGGCATGCAGCTATGCCAAGAACCCCTTCTTGGTGAGGGCCAGGGGTCCAGGGAATGGGGGATGGTAATGACTGCCCAATCTCCACCAGCTGAACTCTGAGCCTCTTCAGGATCGTAGCTGCAGCCCCTAGTGTGGGCCCTGCCCCCCTGGAGCTAACACTGTGGAGACAAAGGTGCAAAGGTGGATAAGCCACAGTACAAAGGTCGAATAGCGAGATGGCTCCAGGAAAGCAGGCAGAGCCTGGGGGCAGGGGGCAGAGCCTGGAGGGTAGGGTAGGGTAAGGGGCAGAACCTGGAGGTGGGAGGGTAGGGGGGACAGAGCCTGGAGGGTAGGAAGGGAGTGGGCAGAGCCTGCAGGGGAGGAGGGCAGAGCCTGGGGGGTAAGGGAGTGGAGCACAGGATGGGAGGGGCCACTCCTCAGACTGGGCAGGACCTTGGGTGATGGGTAGCCATAATCAAGCTTTGCCTATGGGAGAGGCTATCATCTTGAGGGTCTATGTGCCCCACCCTAGTCACACATTAAACCCTAACTCCAAGGTGGTGCTGTTATGAGGATACCTTTGGAAAGTCATGAGGGGGAGCCCTGGTGATGGGATTAGTGACCTGATATGAGATCCCAGAAAGTCCCTTCACTCTCCTAGCCTGTGAGGAAACAGCACAAACAGAGGTGGGTTTCCACCTGACACTGAATCTACTGGCACCATGACCTCAGGCAGCCTGAAGATACTCAAAGGGTCTTGGGCAAGGGGGGTGTGACTTGCCTTGGGTCTAAGGACCACTCTGCTGCTGTGACAGAAAAGACAGGTTGGGGGTCAGCTGAAGGCCAGTAGGCAGATGACCACAATAGTCCAGGAGGGAGGCAACAGGGCTCGGGCCACAGAGGGTCAATCAGGTGGGCAAAAGGCTAAGGCTGGGTCTGTCCTTTCAGTCAAATTGAGGAGTCAGATGAAGGGTTTAAGAAGTTGGAGAATGATGCTGAGGATTTTGCCCTGAGTCTGTTACCTCACTTGTCAAAGAAAATAGTATGATTTCCACCTCTGGAGGTGTCATGAGGACTCAATGAGATGATGCAGGTCAGGTACCTATCCAATGTTGGGGTCCAGTTGGAACTCAACATGGGATGGTCCTGTTTCTCTTGTCCTTGCCAGTTTCCTATTGTGGCAGCCTGGCTGGCCACTTCCTAGGCAGAGTTTGGGTCTCTACCCCAGTCTCACCTTCTCAAGGCATCTTTCCCTGATGTCCCTACCCGCAACGTTCACACATCATGGCCCCTTCCTCACAGCTCTAACCTTGATGGTCAGAGCAGCTGTCCCTCCTGCAGAAAGCCCACAGTAGCAATAATAGGTCCTCTGTACCCAGTACCTAGAAGTCCCTACATGTCCCCTTTCTACCATCATTCTATCTCCAAGTTCAAAACTCTGTGACCAGTGCCCTTCCCCTCCCCCTCCTCAGGCCAGCTCTACCTAACAGTGTGGAGTAGGGGCAGGGGTTCTGAGTCTGCTCATCCATGATCAAACTGCGCTGAGGCTGTGTGAGCTTGAACAAGCCACTGATTCTGGGAGCACCAGTCCCTCCTCCCATGCGAAATTCCCTCAAACAAGGCTTGTTCCATCTCCCTTCTTTACCCTAGGGTCTCCCCCACTGAGGCTGAAAGGTGTGCCTAGGCCTGAGGGTTCCCCAGGCCCTGGGACTCTCAATGCTAAAACCAGTACAGCCCTAGGCAAACCAGGCTGATTGGGCATCCTATTTTTACTGTGGCTAATTGCCCTAAATTTTTTCTTTTTAATTTCACAAGTAAAATTATGACATTCTTCTCATACAAAAGAAACATTAAACCATTAAAAGAAATCAGGGCCACCCTGGCCAGCTTGGCTCAGCAGTTAGAGTGCCCGGCCAGCGGACCAAAGAGTCCCAGGTTCAATTCCCGCCAAGAGGACATCCCTCAGTTGCGGTTCACCCCCTCCCCGATTGAGATCGTGCAGGTGGCACCCAATAGATGTGTCTCTCTCACATGGATGTTTCTCTCTCTCCTTCCCACTTGGTCTGAAGATAAGTGTAAAAATATCCTCGAGTGAGGACTAAAAAAAAAAAAAAAAAAAAAGAAATTAGGGCCCTGGCCAGTTTTGCTTAGTGGTTACAGCATTGGCCCTCAGACCAGAGAGTTGCAGGTTCAATGCCCAGTCCTGGTCTGGTAGTGCTGAAGGTTGCCAACTGATGTGTCTCTCTCACATGGATGTCTCTTTTTTTCTCCCTCCCTACTTTCCATTCTATCTAACAATAAATAAATAAATAATAAATGGAAAAATATCCTCAGATGAGGATTAACAAAAATTAAAAAATAAATAAAAGGAATCAGGGGTCCTTAGAGAAATCATTGATTCCAGGCCTGGGACAGAGTACAAGATTCTGGTACAGTTTGTGCCATAAAGTAAGAAAGTGCTAAAAATATGTCTTATTGAAAAGAACACGGAGGCCGGTTTGGAGGAGCCCACACTGGCTAAATCTGCCATTTGAGCATCTAAATACATAAGGAGAGTAATAGGACAAAATTTAGTGAGTAAAATGAGAACCCAAGATCCACAGCGCTAATGAATACTTGGAGTCTCTTCTCTAGAATACAAAGCTACTAAGTGGGGAAGGAACGGTGGACACAGAAAAGAAACAGCCAAGAAATAGTACGGCAACGATTCGTTTGTACAAGAAATACCAACGAGCCCGTTGGTTTGGCTCAGCGGTTGGAGCGTGGGCCTGCGGACCGGAGATATATATATATATATTTATATATATATATATAATTTATCTCAACGGAAACTAGCGGGTTTCAAGTTTGAGGAGTGGCGGGAATATCTGCACGGTCTCAAAGTGACTTCGCACAAGTAGTAAGCACACAGGAAAACCCGGCCGCGAGGTGCGGGGCACAGCTGCGCATCGCTGCCCGGCCCGCCCGCGACGACCCAGGTGATCCAGATGGAGAGGGAGAGCCTCCCAGTCGAGGGGAGTAAGGAGACGTGACAGCCACGCGAGGCGCGATGCAGACGCGGTCACTGGACCGCGCGTAGAAATGTCCAATTCCTAGAGAACACGCCCAGAGCATTTCGTAACCAGCGAAGGCGCCCCTCCCCCTACGGCCCTCCACCAGCTACTGTGGTCTGTGCCTGTCCCTCGGAACGCTTTCCCGGAAACCTCAACCCGCGCGCTCGAGCGTTTCCCCCACTCCACACGTGCTGGGCTCCACCCGCCTCGCCGGACTTCCGAACCGTGGGTTCCCGGCCCTCCGGCACAAGCGCGTCCTCCCTGCAGCCCAGCGCACCACTAGCCTCCAGCCTCCAGCGTCGCGAGTCTTGGGCGGCGCGGGCACCGAAAAAGAGCGTACTTCCGCTCGATGACGAGACTTCGCGAGCCAATCACAGCCGGGCCGGGCCGGCGCGGAGCATGCCGGTCCTTGTAGTCGGCGTGCGGGCAGGACTACGGCACCCACAGTGCCCCGCGCGGCGGGGAGCTCACTGCGGCTGCGCGGCGGCCCGAGCGCCGTCGGGCTGGGCGGTGGCCAAGCGGACGGGAGCCGGGTTTGAGCCCGGTGGGAGCGACGTGAGCCGGTCTGCGGCCACCATGTCGGCGCCTTCCGAGGAGGAGGAGTACGCGCGGCTGGTGATGGAGGCGCAGCCCGAGTGGCTGCGCGCCGAGGTGAAGCGGCTGTCGCACGAGTTGGCCGAGACCACGCGCGAGAAGATCCAGGCGGCCGAGTACGGGCTGGCGGTGCTGGAGGAGAAACACCAACTCAAGCTGCAGTTCGAGGAGCTCGAGGTGGACTACGAGGCCATCCGCGGAGAGATGGAGCAGCTCAAGGAGGTGAGGGGCGAGGGCGGCCGCCGACCCCCGGCCCGAAGCCGGCTCCTCACCGGGCCCGGCCGACGCCTAGCCGTCCCCGGGCGCCAGGTCGGCGTGCACGGCCGGCCTGGCCGCGGAGGGCCAGCGTCTCCAGCCTGCCTGCTCCTGGGGGCAGGCCTCGGGCACCGTGGGCTGTTTTTTTTCCTGCGGAGTTTGGCTTCCCGGGCTAGGGGGCGGGGACTGTGGGCGTGGGGTGGCTGCAGAGAAAGCCAGGCCTGGTCCTGCCTCGCCTCCAGGCAGATCACTTCCCGAGGTCGGCGCAGCTGCCTTCAGCAGTTTCGGCGCCTTCTTGCGGTGACTCGAGGCCAGGGGAGGGCTGGGACGGGGACTCGCCTGGCATCTGGCCACAGCTGCCGGCGGAGATGCCCGGGTCTTCCGAGTCCGCGCTCTGCCCGCCCCGCCTGATGGCGACTCCGGAACGCCGTGCTTTTTCCTCCCACTGCCTGCCCTGGACGCCCTCCCAGGCTCTGCCCTGCAGACTGGGTGTCTCCTGTGGGATGTGCACTCTGGGACGAGGAGGTCAGATCCCCGGGCAGGCCTTCCGTGAAGTCGTTCTAAGTGATTTAAACACCGGCTTGTCTCCCAGCCCTGTTGTTGGCGTGAGGAGGGAGAGTGGCAGGTGTTTCACCTTCTGGGTGGGACACCCAGGTCCTACCCTTTGCTAATGATGTGGCAGTAGGCAGGGACCTTGACTTCTTCCTCTGCAACACTCTCCGCCCAAAAGGTCTTGTATTTTTGAAAAGGTGGGGCGTGGTGTCAGGTGTGTGGCCTGTCAGTTTTGCTGATGGTGTGCCCTTCCCTACCTGACTCTTCCCTTGTCTTGGGGGACTCTTGGTCCTTGGCCTTGGGATCCACCATGCTAGCTGCTTCCTCCACTGCCCACTTCCTGGCACCAATGCTCCCAGTGGCCTCCAGTAGGTGCCTGGACTGTTCTGAGCCTCTGAGCCTCACTGGGGAGAGCAGTCGAGTCCTCTTAAAGGTGCGGAGGAGAGAATGAATAAATCCATGCCTGGTGCTTTTAAGTCTGTGCCTGGCAGAGCAGGTACTCAGCGTTAGCATCAGTAGCCAACAGACAGGGTGGGAAGGCAGGTGGCATCTCATCTGTCAGCAGGTATGGGGCCAGACTTGGCTGGCACTGGATTTGTAAGAGGGGTAACATGCGGCCTCTTCTACCAGGGTCCCATTTTGGTGTTGGGGTAATGCACCCATGGTCTCCCCAGATGGATATCGCCCCGCCCCAGGACTCACAATCCCCCTCTGTGTTCACAAGCTTGCATTCCTGTCCCTATAAGAAGGGATTGGACTGACTATTACAGAGGGAACTGGTTCCCATTCTGGGATATTTCATTTGTTAGCTCTTTACGATTGTGGGCACAAACACTTTGGCCAATGCAAGAGTCTGGGCTCCCTGTGGTGGGTGTGTCTGGAGGGTGGGTCCCAGGGAAATCAGGAGGAAGGCGTCACATGTCAGTCTCCGCAGGTGTTCTTCAGGCACCTACTTGCTTACTTTGGTGTCGCCTCCTGGCTCCTGCATGCACTGGCCACAGGATCTTGGACATGTTGCCTTGCGGTCCTGAACTTCCGTTTCCCCCATTGTAGGTGGTCCTCACGGGTGGGGATGTGAGGACTAGAGGGCATGCCTCATGCCAGGGCCAGGTTCCTGACGCAGTGTCAGCCCCACCATCTCTTGTCTCCTAGAGAGAGGGGGAGACAGGTCTAGACGCCCTCTCTGCCTCTGTGCCACCAGGATCTTGAATGTGTGGTATACGTACATCTTGGGGAAGCAGTGGGTCCAATTTGGTGAGCCCTGGCATGTCATGGGCTGGGTGTGGTGCCTGGCACACAGGAAGTGCTTACGTAGTAAGTGTCTACTGGCTAGTGTCCTCAGCTCTTTCCCTCCATCTTTCAGGCCTGGATCCCCTCCCTGCTGTCCTCACAGCCACCTGGCTCTGCCTCTTGGCTTGGTGTGGTCTGGAGCAGCCCCTACATCTCCCAGAGGGCAGCCTAGCCTCTGCCTGTGGCCTCCAGCCTGGCTCAGACTGCACTGCCCTCCCCGCTGGATGTTTCTGAGCCTCCTCCGTCACTGCCTTTAGACATGCCTGAGCCCATCTCCCAACACTCGGGCATCCCTCTTGTCCTGCAGGCTCAGTGGCCACATGAAAGGTTGGGGCAGAGCCGGTAAGAGCAGCTATTCTGTCCCCTTTGCTCCCTCCCTCCCATCTTGCTTGTAATCTCCTCTCCCAGAGGATGGGGAGACTGAGGCAGGGATGGGTGGCAGTGACTAAGGGGCTCAGCATCTCAGACAGCACAGGAAGGGGTCCTTGGCCCCAGATCCCCAGTCCATGTGTTTTGCACAAGTCACGGCAGGAGGAGTAATACAAGTGCTGCCCTCAGTCTCACCCTGTAGCCGAACTGCTCCTGTCAGCCTCCCGACACCCCACTGTTTTCTGCAGTCCCCAATACCATTGTACAGATGGGGAAACAGGTGGGTGCAGAGAAGCTTCGTTTTACTCAAGGCTGTGAGCCCAGGCAGCCTGTCCTGAGAGGGCAGCACCTGCTGAGGAGGGAAGGGCAGTGGAGGCCTCTGTGAGGCCCAGCCTCCTCAATTGTTTGTTTCAGGTCAAGAAGAGTTCTGATTTCGGCTAAAGCCTGTAGGGATTCTCCTGCTCCTCAGATGCTACCCTAGAACTTGGAGCAGAGAGTCATTGGGGGCTGGGAGCCTGTGAGAGGCCCGGAGACTTTTGGAGCAGGAGCTGGGTGTGCGTTGTTCTGCGGTCAGCTCGAAGAGGCGTGACTTGGGTAGAAGCGGTAGTCTGGTGATTCCTGGAGCTGAGGTGGCCCTGCTTTCTCCTGGTTCACAGCCAGGAGAGGCAGCTACAGGTGTCCAAAGGCTGTGACTCCGGGGCTCACTGGCTACTGCTGGGCCCTCCTGGCTGTCTCTCAAGCAGAGGGCATGTTGGGCGTGTCGGGTAGGGGTTTGTGAATTGTCCTATGGGCTCTTTCACTTTTATTTATTTTTTTTAATCTTTACATTTATTTTCAGACAGAGTTTGGGTGGGGGGAGAGAGAGAGAGAGACATCTATGCGAGAGAGATACATCGATTGGTTGCCTCCTGCATGACCCCAGCCAAGGCTGGGGACCAAACTGCAACCAAGGTACGTGCCCTTGACGGGAATCGAACCCACGACTCTTTGGTCTGCGGGCCAACGCTCTAACCGCTGAGCCACACACAGGGCTCTTTTCACTTAAAAGTGCCTGAGACTGCTGTGTCACCTGGGCTCTTTCCTTCTGCTGGTGCTGGCCTGGGGGTGAGCAGCTGTGTACCTCAACATCCGCAGGGTATGGCCTTGGAATCAAGACTGGCACGCTGTGTCCTGGCCAGTTTTGCTTAGTGGTTAGAGCGTCCGCCCGTGGACCAAAGGCTTGCAGGTTTGATTCCTAGTCAAGGGCATGTACCTAGGTTGCAGGTTCACTCTTTGGCCTGGGTTGGGGTTGGGCGGGAGGCAACCAATCAATGTGGCTCTCTCATATAGATGTTTCTATCCCCTCTCTCCCTTCAGTTCTATTAAAAAAAAAGGAAGAAGAAGGAAAAATATCCCCCGATGAGGGTTAACAAAAACAAAAGACTGGCCCTCTGTGACAGAGCTGCTTTCCTACAAATAGGGCTAGAGGGTGCCCCCCTTCCCCGGGACCAGGTGCCTGTGGCTTAAAAGTGGTCTGCCTGGGCAGGCGAGGAGGTGCTGCCTGTGCTGGACACGGGAGGAGGGATGGGCCCCTGTGTGCGCCCTCAGCTGTGTGGCCCTGGATAAGCAGCTCTGCCCCTTGGGGTCAGGATGGGTTGGTAGGGTGCAGGTCACTGCATGGGTTGGTGCACCTGGAGCCTGCAGGGTGGAGGTTGGGGTATTGGTGGCTGAGGTTCCCTGGGTCTGAGCAGCTGCCTTGGAGAGAGCCATGGCCAGGTCTGAACGGGCTTCTGCTGGGCCCCCCATTCCTTCCTGTGAAGGAGATCAACTTCCCCTCATCAGTGTGGGGCAGTCACCCCTAGACCCGTTCTCCACATCAGTGCGCTGGGGGAAGGACTGCTACACACATTGGAGGGTAAAGAAAGATGTGGTTTCTTCTCAGACAGTGAGGTGAAGAGGGCCTATGGCCGGGGCTGGCCGGGGCCCTGCAGGCTCTGACAAATGAGGCCCCCCCCCCAGGCCCTGGGCCCTGTGTTTTTAGGTGCTCAGGGTGTGGCTCCTTGAGACACTCTCCAGAGCTGAGAGCCCTGTGGGGCTGCCCAGCTGCTCTCCTGGCCATTAAACCTTGCTATCCTGCCAGGCTCTGCCATGGGAGGTGGACTGAGATGGAGGAGCATGGGTAGGGGGAGGGTCTTAGAGTGGAGCAGGCAGTTCAGGCTCAAGCAGGTGATGGCATTGAAGAGGATTAGGCTGCAGCTTCTATTTTAGAGTTTAATATCTTTAAAATTGTCCATTCTGTCTTCGCCTGACTAGTGTGGCTCAGTGGATTGAGCATCATCTCATGGACTGAGAGGTCCTGGTTCAGTTCCCGGTCAGGACGCATGCCTGGGTTGTGGGCTTGATCCCCAGTAGGGGGTGTGCAGGAGGCAGCCGATTGATGTTTCTCTCTCATTGATGTTTCTATCACTCTCTCCCTTCCTTTTTCTCTAAAAAAAAAAAACCCAGTAAACTAAAATAAAAATTGTCCATTCATTGTAGAAATATCAGGAAGTAGAAATGAGCAGTGTCTACAGGAATTAGGAAGATGACAGGTGAGGGGAACAGCTTGGGGTTTCTCTTCCTGGGTGTATGGGAGGTACACAGAACACCATAAACAGTTAAATGTGAGTGGAGCCTCTGTGACAATTGATTGTAAAAAGACACAGCGTTTGGTGTCACTCTCTGAGTTGCAGAAAAGCAGGTTTCATTCAAGTGGATGAAGACACAGAGCTCATGTA